CTCCATATTCTGGTTCTATATTCTATATCCTATGTTCCAGGCTTATTTCACATGGATTACCTTTCATACATTCTGAATCACGGCCAAGCTGTACTACTAGCTGGCCCGAAATAATGAAAACAACTCACTTTTGTTATAGGGCTTTAAGGTTTCCAAAGGAACTGGCCCATGACCACACAGCTATGACATGCCCAAGGTGGAATCAGAATCCACCTCCATGCACCAGTGGAGGCTGTTTGCTATGTCTAGGGGTCCGAGTGTTGTCTCTGATGCCAACAAAACTGTGTGAAATGTGTGGAATTCACGTCTCCTCTGGGGGCCTTGGTTCTCTCATATGTACAATGGGGACAACAGACTTGGTACTATTGTCTCACAGGGTTGTTGTGAGGCAAGTGCTGGGTGAATGTTACTGTAATTACTTTTGTAACTCTGGTGCTGGGATGAAATTCCTACTATGCTTTCCCGATCCAAGTAGAATGTTTATATTTTGTCACTCTGACCAAACTGGCAACCTAGAAAAAGTCTGTGGGCCAAATGATAGTGATAACCTAAGACTAGATACAAAGGAAGCTTTCAGCAGGCCCTTACTCAAGCTGGTTGGCTGAAATTCACACCCCTCAGTCAGAGCCAGGGCTGGCTTCCAGGAGTTGACATTCTAACCATGCCACAGGCAAAGGGCACAACTGGATTCTTTGTGCGTGGTGCCAGCCAAGAAAATCTGAGGGAATTACCAGCTCAGAGAGAGGCAGAGCCCGGGGGCAAGCCGTAGGAAGAGGGAAGAGGAAGAAAGTGGAGGCAAAGGCACATTCTACACATTCTATGCCAACCTTCTCATTTTAACTCATATCTGGAAGCACAGAGACACATTATGGAAAGAGGGGCTCCAGGGAAGTGTGTGGGAGAGAGAGAGAGAGGGAGAGAGAGAGAGAGAGACTCACAGAGAGACAGAGACAGAGACAAAGACAGAGACCAAGATACAGATAGAGAGAGACAGAGAGACAGAGAGAGGAGGGGGGGGGGGGCAAACAGGAGCACTGGGAACTAGAGACATGTATGGGAGTTGGTCTCATTAAGTTCTTTGACCTCCAGGGTTTGCAATTTTAGAGACTGTTGTGAGTGGACCTCTCCTGGGTGAGAAGATTTTTCTCTCCTAATCTGAGCTCAGATAAAAAACTCCCAGTTGAAGAGCTCATTTACTTTTGTATGCACTAATCTGTCAAACTTTTCCAACTTCTTTGCTGTTTTGCTTGGAAAAATGGGTTTAATTTGCTATTACTATTCATGATGGTTTTTTGTATAGCTAGCATTTGGTAGAAAGGAAGCTAAACTGGCTAGTATAGGCTAAGAGTTAAGTTAAGCCTCCTTAAGAGTGATAAGAGGGACAGCTAGGTGGCATAGTGGATAGAGCTCTGGCCTTGGAGTCAGGAGGACCTGTGTTCAAATCCGACCTCAGACACTTGACACTTACTAGTTGTGTGACCCTGGGCAAGTCACTTAACCCTGATTGCCTCAGCCAAAAAAAAATGTTGGGTGAAATATCAACCTAGAGATAGGTAAGATACCAGAAATGCAGAAAGAGTTTTTCTCTTTTTTTCCCCTATTTTATTATTAATTTATTTTTAATTTTCAACAATCACTTCGATATGCTTTTGAGTTTAAAAATTTTCTCCCCCTCCCTTCCCACCTCCCTCTCCAAGACAGTGCACAATCTGATATAGGCTATACATATGCATTCCAATTAAACATATTTTCACATTAGTGATGTTGTAAGGAAGAGTTAGAACCAATAGGAGTTACCACCAGAAAGAGGAAACAAAACTCAACAGAAGAGAAAAAAAATAGCAAATAGTATGCTTCTATCTGCATTCAAATTCCATAGTTCTTTCTTTGGATGTGGATAGCATTTTCCATCATGAGGCCTTTGGAGATGTCTTAGATCCTTGTATTGCTAGGAATGGTTAAGTCTATCAATATTAGTCATTGAACAACATGGCTGTTATTGTATACAATGTTCTCTTGGTTCTACTCATTTCACTTAGCATCAGACCATACAAGTCTTTCCAGGTTTTTCTGAAGTCCTTCTGTTCATTATTTCTTATAGCACAATGGTATTCCATTACATTCATATACGACAACTTGTTCAGCCATTCCCCAATTGATGGGCATCGCCTCAGTTTCCAATTCTTTGCCACCACAGAAAGAGCTGCTATAAATATTTTTGTACATGTGGATCCTTTTCTCTTTTTTATGATCTCTTTGGGATACAGCCCTAGAAGTGCTATTGCTTGGTCAAAGGGTATGCACAGTTTTATAGCCCTTTGGGAACAGTTCCAAATTTCTCTCCAAAATGGTTGGATCATTTCACAACTCGACCAACAATGCATTAGTATTCCAATCAGGAAAGGCTTTTTGCAGGAGATGGGATTTTAGCTGGGACTTGAAGGAAGCCAGCTAGGAGGTAGAGATGAGGAGGGAGAGCCTTCCAGGCATGGGGGATATGTCTTGGGGGACAGCCAGGAAGAATGCCCAGAGTGGGGAGATGGAATATCTTGTTTATGGAACAGCAAACAGGCCAGTGTCACTGAACCAGAGAGCATATACGTGTGTGGGGAAGACGGAGGGGGGAAGTGAAAGAAGACAAAAGATAATAGGGAGCAACGTTGTGAAGGGCTTTGAATGTCAAGCAAAAGATTTGATATTTGATCCTGGAAGTAATCAAGAGCTAATGGGGTTTGTTGAATTGGGGAGGAGGCTGGGTATGTGAAGGGAGTAAGGGAGGCATTGGTGACATGGTCAGATCTCTACTTTAGGAGGACTGACAGTTAAGTGCAAGATGGATTGGGGTGAGGAAAGACTGGAGGGACAGGGAGACCAACCAGCTGGATGAGGTGATGAGGGCCTGTACCAGAGTGGTGGCAAGAGGTGTTAGAAGAGAGCAGGCAGCATATGAGAGATATATTATGAAGGCAAAATTGACATGACCTAGCAACAGATTGAATATGGATATGTGGGGGGGAGGGGTGGTGAGAGACAGTAGAGAGTTGAGGATGACACCTAGGTTGCAAGCCTGGGTACCTGAGAGGATGATGGTACCCTGGAGAGTAATCGGAAAATGAGGAAGAAGGGAGAATTTGGGTGGGGAAAGAGAATGATTTCAGTTTTGGACATGTTGAATTTAAGATGTTTATGAGATATCTAGTTTGAAATGTCTAAGATGTAGCTGCAGATGCAAATCTGGACGTGAGGGCTAGATACGTAGATCTGAGAACGATCAGCATAGACATAATTGAGTTAAGATCTGATGAAATCACTAAGTGAAATGAATAGCAGAGACAGAGAAGAGGGCCCAAGATTACACCTACCTTTATGTTCACCCTCTTCCTGCCAAATATTAGTCATACAAAAGAGCATCATGAACAGCAGTAGCAAGTAAACCTGTTTATCCAAGGGACTCAATAGAAGTGGGTAGTAGAATGACCTGGACATAGATCTGGCAAAGCAGCATGAGGAGTAGTCAAGTAGTAGGAGAACCAGGTGACAGTAGCACCATGAAAACTTAGAGAGAAGAAAGTATCTTGGAGAAGAGGGTGATTGATAGTATTAATGGCTGCAGAGAGGTCAAGAGGAATGAGGATGGAGAAAAGGCCATTGGGTTTGGTAATTAGGACATCACTAGTAACATTGGAGAGAGCAGTTTCAGTTGAATGATGAGGGTGGAAGCCAGATTGCAGAGAGTTTAAAAGAGAGTGAAGGGAAAGAAAGTGAAGGCAATGATTGTAGACAGCCTTCTCAAAGAGTTTAGCCATAAAAGGGATGGATGGATCAAATGAAGTTTTTTTTGAGGATGGGGAGATATGGATATGTTGGTAACTAAGTAGGAGGCAGCCAACAGACTAGGAGGGATTGAAGATGAGTGAGGGGATGTGGACGACGGAGGGTGCAATCTGCTGGGATTGCACTCAAGATGGGTCAGAACGGGATCACTTGTGCATATTTTGTGCATTTACCAAGTTTACCTTGGTAAGGACAAGGGCCACATCCTGAGACAGGGGTGAAAGAAGGTAGAAGGCATCTAGGTGATGTGCGATGAGGAGGAGCAGAGAAGAAAGAACCATTTTCTTTTCAGTAAAATATGAGGCCGGGTTCTAAGCGGAGAAGGTGTTGGGAAGAGGAGCCATGGGAAGTTTGAGGAAGGATGAAAATGTTTGGAAAAGCTGCTGTGTTGAGTGAGACAGGGAGTTAATTAGGGATTGCTTTGCCACAATGAGGGCCAATTGACAGACTGATCGTCCCTCTTCCCAGTCTTCACCTGTTGTGTTTCTATGCACCAAGTCAAATTTTGCCTCCTCCACTAAGCCTTGTCTGATTCTTCTCCTCCTTCAAATCTGTAATGGCCTTTTTCTTATTGAACTTCTTATAGTCCTCGGCTTTTCACCTTTCTAGTGTACTTAGAAATGTGTGATTTTGGATTATAGCTATCAATTCATGTCATACACTCGTACCTACACACACCCCTACTGGACTGGAAACTTTACAAAAGCCAAACTTTGGTTTCTTCCCTATGCCCAAATCTAGTAGTCTGCACACAGCAGGTGAATTGTAGAATTGTCCTGCACTATTTATCATTTATTTATCTTCTGTCCCCAGTTATTTCCCGCTGATCTCCATACTTCACCTAACAGGTAAGAAGTTCAAATAGAATTCCTGGGAGTGTGGATGGGGGAGAACATTTCCTTAACTTAAGTGACTTGCCCATAATGCCACAGCTAGATATAAAAATAACAATATAGTCGCCTCCTTCTGAAGAATTTAAAGGCATTTCATAAATGGCATATATGTCCATGTGATGCAAATTGTGCCTTGCAACTGAATTTGAATTAGGAATAATTCTGTTTGTGTTCTGAGAGCTAGCAACACAGTGGCTTCGGTGCTCAGAAGAGATGGGTTGCCATTTACACGCCCGCAGCTCGGCTGAGGGGCTGCAATTTCTCTCTCTGTAGGTCCAGAAAGCTAGGCCAAGAACCAATTCTGCCTCGAAGCTCGTCTCTGGCTCCGCAGCCGCTCTCGGTAGCATTCCCAGTAAGCGGCTCCTTCAGTGAGATGCGGAAGGGAACCCAGGCTGGTCCTGAACTCTCACCACCGCCCAGCTGTGGTGAGATCATTTCCTCGAGGAGGCGGGGCCTGGGAGGCGTGAAGAAAAAAACGCCGAGAGAAGAAGGGGCAATTTGACTCCTTGGGTTCTACGAGCAGACAGCATCATGGCTAGCTGTCCCCAGCCCCAGGAGGAGACCCTCCAGGCCCTCCGGGACATGGCTAATCGCCTGAGGATCCACTCCATCCAGGCTACATGTGCCTCCAATTCAGGGTAATGTCACATATTCTTTCTTCTGTGGGAAGGTTTAGCAAGGGAGAATGTGGTTTACCGTTGCCCTTCCTTTACCATTACCCTCCCCTCTCCCCCGTTTTAGGTGTATCGATAGATTCGGATAAGCAGAGTGATCGAAAGGTCCGCTCTCGAGTGGGCTTAGTGTTTGAGCCGGGGGTCTCTCCATCTCCATCCCCATGTTTTGTTTTATTGTTCTGTGGGATGCGATGGATGGGGAGTGGGGGTTGGGTGTGCCATGTCGGCCACCGCCCCTTTAAGTCACCGCCTCGTGGAAACTGAGGTGGGAAATGATTTTTATCCCCCTACAAACCCCGCTGCGGGCAAGTTTTGGCCCATGAAAAGCCCTCCTGGGGGCGGCTATATTTGGGTGTGACTTGCCTTAGCATCATCCCAACTGAAACCTCCTGACAAGGAGAAGGAAGCACACTGGCAGCTTTCCAAGGAGGAACCACTGTTAATTTCATTCATTTAATTTCTTTTCTTGTTTTTAATTTTTTTATATTTATTTTTTTCTAATCACATAATTTCGTTCACTTCTGAGACAGGGGTGCAGGTTTCAGTTCAGATGCTTTTGGGGGGAGGCAGGGAAAGCCTGTTTTCTCAGATATCTAGAGAGAGAACGAAAATCGCCTTTATTTGGGATTTCTATCGAGATTCCTACTACTTGCCTAAGATAAAGGCAACTCTTGGGTCACTTTTGATAGCTTTTTTTGATTTCTCTGATGAAGACTTCATCATTGGGCACTAAAAGGCAGGATGCTCACCTCCCTTACACCTACTGCAGCAAAAATCTCTGAAATCAGTTAGTCAACAAACATTTAGTAAATTCTTAGCATATTTCAGGCACTGTGCTAAGCACTGGAAATTTACACCACATCGAGTAATGATCAAGAAATTCAGTGAGAAACTACAGCAAGGGGCTTCTAACCCAGAACTGCACAAACAGTTAGCTATTAGCCCACAGGAAAACTCCAGTGCAGAGGGAGACTCCCAGTCTCAGTGACCAGAGAAAGGCCAGGAACATACATACATATACATACACAGCCTGCAAGGCCATTTCAGGAGGCAGCACAGGGCTCCCCTGTAGGCCACGTAAGAAATTTGATATATAAAAAAAAAAAACAACTGATCTGGAAAACAGGTAAATGAAAGAGAATCGAAGAATCATTGGACTCCCTGAAAACCATGATTTAAAAAACCAAATAATAATAGCTAACATTTACATAACACTTACCATGTGCCAGGCACCGTGCTAAGTGCTTTGCATTTATTATCTCATTGGATCCTCACGCCAACCCAGGGAGGTACTATTATCTCTGTTTTACATATGAGGAAACTGAGACAGACAGGTTAAGTGACTTGCCCAGAGTCACAGAGCTAGTAAATATTTGAGCTCAGCCCACCACTCTATTTATTGCCATCTAGCTGCCTAAAAAAAAAAAGCTTAAATACTATATTTCAAGAAATCATTAATGAGAACTGTCCAGGTCTATCAGAACCAGAGGGCAAAGTAAAGATAGAAAGATTCCACCAATCACTTCCTGAAAGGAACCCCAAAAGGAAACATCTTATGTTAATATGAAAGCCCAAATCCTGAGCTCTCAAATCAAAGAAAAAATACTGCACTATCTAGAAATAAGCTGTTCAAGTATCAAGGAGTAATAGTGAGGATCACAGAAAGCCTGACAATTTCTATTGTATATCAGAGGAGAATGTGGAATATATTATTCCAAAGGTCAAAAGATACAAGCTTACAAGTAAGAATAACTTGCTTGGCAAAACTAAGTATAGTCCTATGGTGAAAATGGATTTTTAATGGAACAGGGGACTTTTAAGCATTTCTGGTGAAGAGACTAGAGCTGAGTAGGACTTTGAAATGCAAACACAAGAGTTCAGAGAAACCTAGAAAAGGAAATATATTGGAGCAATTAGAAGGGGCTCTATGATAATGCACTGCTAACATTCTAAAAGGGAAAGAAAGGGTCCCTTCAGAACCTTAATATCTTCAAAAGATATTGAGGGAGTTGAATAAGAAAGACAGAGGACCCTGGAGGGTGGGGTGCGGGGGAGGGAGCGAGGAGGTTGGATTTGTTCTCAGGGTTCAAAGAGGGGGTAGAGGAGGGAGGGTGAAAGGAGGATGAGGATGGAACTTGCTATTTCTTATAAATGAGGTAGAAGAAGAGTACCACAGAGTACTTTGTACACAGAAGAGAGGGTGGGAGAAATGGGCATCAGATGAACTTTACCTCTTATCTGAAATGGACAAAGAAACATTGTATAGACACACACACAGACAAACAGTTTGGTGTAGAAATACATCAGATTCAACAGGGAAACAAGCAGGGATGGGAGAGTGGGGTTATGAGGGAGCAAACTGTGGTAAACAAATGTAATATAATATTATTGTTCTGTAAGAAATGACAAAAGACAGTTTTAGAGAATCCTGGGTAGTATGAACTGATGCAGAGTGAAGTGAGCAGGACCAGGAGAACAGTTTATACAAGGACAGTAACAATGCAAAGAAAAATGACTTTGAAATACTTAAGAACTCTGATCAATGCAGTGAGCAATCACGTCTTCACAGAGGACCTATGATTGAAGCATGTTACTTTCTGACACAGAGGTGATGGAAAGGTACAGAAGGACATACATTGTTGGATATGGACACCATGTGGATATATTTTGCTTAGTTATTACAAGAGTTTTTTGTTTGTTTTTTAAATGGAGGGAGGTTTGGGGAAGAGAAAGGCTTAATAAAAATGATGCAAAAAAAATGCGATCAATGAAACATTTAAAATGTACAGAGAAGAACAGAAGAAAGTACAGATCAACAGGATCAATGGGCATTTTTTCTGGCTGTTGCCCATATCTGGAATGCTTTCCCTTCTCTGCTCTGACGACTGACCTCCCTGGCTTCCTTTAAATCCCAACTGAAATCCCATCTTCTACAGGAAGCCTCCCCCCAACCCCTCTTTAAAAATGGGATCAATGAAACATTTAAAAAGTACAAACCAACAGGATCAATCAGTCAGTCAACATTTATTAAACACCTACTATGTGCCAGGCATTATGCTAAGCACTGGGGGTAGAAAAAGAGGCAAAAGACTTCCTGCCCTCAGAGCACAGAAGGGAGGGTGTACCAAGGATGGGGGACAGCCAGACAGAATGTCTGGAGCTGAGAGATGAAGTGTTTTGTTCATAGAACAGCTAGGAAGCCAGTGTCACTGGATTGAAGAGTACATGTTGGCGAGTAAGGTATAAGAAGACTGGTAAGGTAGAAGGAGACTGACTAGGTTACGAAGGGCTTTGGATACCAAATGGAGCATTTTGTATTTGCATTTAGGGCTGTGAGGATAAAATAATATAATATGTAAAGCACTTTGTAAACCGAAAAGTACTATATAAATGCTGTTACTTTTATTATTAATAATAATGTTAGGGGCGGCTAGGTGGCACAGTGGATAGAGCACCGGCCGTGAAGTCAGGAGGACCTGAGTTCAAATCCGGCCTCAGACCAAACACTTGACACGTACTAGCTGTGTGACCTTGGGCAAGTCACTTAACCCCGATTGCCTCACTAAAAAAAAAAAAATAATAATGTTATGTAACTCCATTATGTGGTAATATAATTGTTATTACTTAATGTAAAAATTATATTAGTAGTAATGTAAGAGTTGAGATTTGAACCTAGGTCTTCAGACTAGCAATTTTTCTGACCTAGCAATCTTTCTCTAGTACTACAAATTTCTTCTCAACATATTCAAGCCCATTGGAGTTTGTGGAGACATTTTGGCATCTCTGTCACCCAATGTGTTAGCTATTCTTCTATCTCTGTATCATCTAAAAATTTGAGAAGCAGCCTTGATAATCTTGATTCTCTAATTTAGGAGAACCTTCTCTCTGAATGGGCTGTACCTGGTGACAGGCTGAAATTCCTTACCAAATTGGTGGTCCAGTTTTACAGACCCTTGGGGTACTTAGTACTTGGTGTGGTTATTTGCTTTATAAGTATTTACCTAAATATAAGGTAGTATTCCACTCTTAGCCAATCAGGTGACTTTGAAAATTTAAATCACTACAAATAGCAACTCTTATAATACTCATGTATGAACTCTCTCTTCCTTTCCCTTCTTATCTTTCCAGAAACTTGAAACAAAGAGAAGTTTTAATAAGAAGGATATATTTTATATAAGTCAGTGAACAGGCATAAAATTCAGTCATCAGGATCGGATTTTTCCTTCTGTAGATTTTTAAGGAGGTGGCAGTTTTGCTCTTTTGTTTATAAATTTTGTCTATATAGTATTAGAAACTTTCTAAGGACAAAGCAATTAAGAGCACATTGAATTGTTAAGAAAGCTAGAGAAATATCATTGTTCTTCACAGTACATTCAGTACTTCCTGAAAGAGGTCAGTATTATATATTTGATATCATTCTAGTGGATTTGATGTTTTATCATATGACTGAAATAAATTTCTGGTCTTCTGAAAATGCCGCAGATCAATTCCAGTGAGAGCAAACCCTTGATACTTGTCAAGCCATGTCCTAGAAGATAGAATTGCTTTGTATATTGTTGTTGCTTGATAAATTTTTCTTTGATTTGAGAAGAATGCAGTGCACAACTTTGGTGTCTCATGATCTTAAAGTCCAAGGCAGTAGAGGCAGTAAGCTTATATTAGGGAATGGCTCTTGGTTTCTTGCCCCCTGGCTGGAGTCATCGTAGGCCTGGAGAAATGGCTTTATTAGATAGTCTAAGAAACCTTATCAGGCTGATCAGTCAGTTTTAGAACTTGTCATGAGTGGTTTAGTGTTGTATAAAAATGGAAAGTATTGTTTTCCTTTCAGTCACCCCACATCTTGCTGCAGTGCAGCTGAAATCATGTCTGTTTTGTTCTTCTACACAATGAAATATAAACCAACAGAACCAGGAAATCCAAGCAATGACCGATTTATTCTGTCAAAGGTAAGAGGGGCAGGGCACCTGGACATTGCTGCTAACAAGGGTTCTTTGAAGATAGATGAAGTTCTGAAAAAAAGATGGCTTAATGGCTGTGATGGGCTATACCTTGCCCTTTTATGTTGATTTTAATAAGCATCTCTAAACCTGAAACCTTTCACCATCAGGTACTATATTACAGCAGTCCCTTCAATTTGACTGTTCCTACTTTGATTCTCTTGACTCAGATGAGACATACTCAGAAAGGTCACCTTTATTCAGACCCAGGTTTTCTGACTTGAAATCTAGTACTCTTTCCAAGACCCCACAATTTTAGTTTTCAGCTGGAGTCTGAGAAATTTATGCAATGATATCTAGTCCTTACCTGTCCTACAAGGATATTGTGAGTGTAATCCCTCTGATATTTTCTTAAATTAAAATCTTTGTTGACTAAAGAACTTTGGTAAAGTCTTCAATTTGGGCATGAGTGAACTTCATTACTCCTAGGATTCTTTAACAAATGCCACCAGAAGCTTTGAATTGCTTTTCTTACAAATTCGGGAGTTCTTCTGCAGGGTCATGCAGCTCCTATCTTGTATGCTGCCTGGGCTGAGGCTGGCGATGTTAACCAAGCTGACCTTTTGAACTTGAGGAAGATTGACTGTGACCTAGAGGGCCATCCTACTCCTGTAAGTTCTTCTTTGTAAAGTCTCTGCTGGTTTGATCTGACACTCATAGTTGGGCATGGGGTAACTAGTTTTTGCTGATGATTTAAAGGTAAGTAAATTCTTATAACAATTGGGGATGGGAGGGAAGAAAAGAAGCAGCAAACTCAGGCAGAGGTGCTCAGAGCAGGGAGATAAGAGAAGATGTGGAGCAGGAGAAAATGCTTCCGTCCCTGCCATTTGCTTACAAAAATATCAAAACGAACAAACAAAAGAGGAGACAAGCCAGGGTGTGGTTTGCTTTTGTACTTTGTGCTTTTGTTTTCATTCTATTTTTGTTCTACAGAAAGGAAATTTCTCTCACCAAAACATTTTTTTTCTCTGTAACTTACACTTTTAAAAAGCGACCCAGGGCACTGAGATGTTAAGTGACTTGCTGCTGTTGTATGTGGAAGACAGGGTTAGAACCTCAGTCTTCTTGACTCTGAAGCCTAAAATAATGTTTTAGAAATCATAAGCCTTGGAAGTGTTATGTTACCACCCTGGCATAGTTTGTTATTGACATACTTATTTACATATTTTAATATTTACACACCAGGGATTAGCAGTAATGCTGAAAGCATAGAATTTGTTTGTTGCATATCATCTTTCTTCCCAAGAGCTTGAGATGCCTTGCATACAAGTTTAAACATTTAGCCTAAAATTACAAGCTGAGGCGGTGACAAGAAAAGGGGGGTGCAATTATGACTCACATTTTTGTAGAATACTTCAGGGTACACAAAGTATCTTCTTTAGAACCCCCTGTGAAGTAGGTAGTGGGGTGAGGGGCAGGCACGGAAAAGAAACTGTGTAGTAAAGATTCACACAAGGAGAAAAGGTGGCAAAATGAAGGGTGTTAGGATCCACACTAATAAAATATATTGTAGCTGTAGTGCTCTCATTCTATCCCTTTGCCAAATCCAGGTCCCTCCATTCCTAATCTCCTTCCTTCTCTCTATCCTGTATTTCCCTGTTGACTTTAATGTATTTCTGCACTAAACTTTGTGTGTGTTCAACCTTCCTTTGTCTGACTCAGAGCAGCATGAGAGGTTCATGGGATGCTTGTACTCCTCACATTTCCATCTTTATATATTCTTCTGATACACGCCTGTTATGAGAAAGAGTAAGTTCCTTCCTCTTCATCATTTCTTTCCTTGTATAGTCTTCTCCTCCTTTCTTTGGAAATTGTCTTAAATCAGACCCAGAAGAGCAGAAAACCAAACCCACATCCTGAGTTTATCTTTCTTTGCTCCTTCATTGACCTGTGAAGACAGTAGCATTCTGAAGTGACAGCTTTATCATCATATAACCAACCCCTTCCAGTTGCTCCAGTGTATTTGCCTTTCTGGGTTTCTCTCATCTCCTATGTTTGCATTTCAAAAATTCTACCCAACTCTGGTTTTCTTAACGGTAATGCTTCGAAGTCCTCTGTTTTACTCAGGGTCCTCTCCCCACCCCCCAGAGCATCATATTCAATTCTGCAAGAGAAGTTATCCTTATAACTTATCCAGCTCCACTTTTACAGAGTTAAAAGGAAGTAGAATCTATTATGCCTCAGGTGAATCCCTAGAAAAAGGGTTGGCAGTCATGATCTCAAACAGGGCAGTAATAAAAATAGACATGATTAAAAAAGATAAGTCGGGAATTACATTATGCTTAAAGACACCTCCTATATATGTAGCATAGCATATAAGTACTTAAAGGAAAAACTAATTGAATTGCACGGAGAAATAGATGGCAATTCAATAATTCTTGGGGACTTCAGTGGGCCGTTTTTCTTTTTCTCAAAAAGACTAGTAAAATAGATAAATCATTAGTTAATATTTATAAAAAAAGAGGAAAACCAACTTGCCAAAATTGAAAATGAAAAAGGAGAAATGACAAAAGATAACAAAGAAATGAAGGAAATTGTTACAAAGGACATATGAAGGAAGATGCTATCTGCATCCAGAGAAAGAACTGATAAACAGAAGGATGTATGGAATGATTTTACATATGTATGCATATTTGTGTCTAATGGTAGCCATTTCTAGGGTGGGGGAGAGGGAAGAAAAAAATAAATTTACATGATAACTTTACTATATATTTAAAAGAATAGCAAATTGTGCATAATAGATTTGCAATTTCGTGTGCAATCACCTTTTTTATTATACTGTGTTATGGAAATGCTTGTTTTATTCCATAAATTAAAAAAAAGAAATTTTTGCCTAATTATGTGGCAACAAATCTTATGATTTAAATGAAATAGATGAATACTTGCAAAAACATAAAATACCTAGATTAATAGGACAAGAAATAGAGACTTTAAACAACTTGATCTTAGAAAAAGAGTTTGATCAAGCCATAAATGAACTTATAAAAGAAAAAATCCGAGACTTAGATAGAATGCCCTTGTAAATGTGGAGAAGAATTAACTCCAATTTTATCTAAATTATAGATAAGATGCCTTCTTTTCTCTATGTTTACAAACTCCTATTAAACAAAAATGATGCTAATTCCCAAACTGGGAAGAAAGAAAACAAAGAAAATGATGGACCAATATGTCTAATGAATACTGATTACTGTAGATATTTTGGAGGTCATTTTCTTTTGAGTTTGTTTCTTGTGTGCCCCTGTTTCCATCATAGCTCTTTATTGTGGGAATCTTTTTTTTGCTTACATTTGTCTTCCAGCCTTTCTTCCTAAATTGAGACTTTGTGTTAGGTCCTGGCTCTGTTTATTTCTGGAGGGATGTGTGGGCCTTATTTTGGGCCTTTCTTGTATTCTCCAAAGCTTTTGCTGCTGATTTCTTCAAGGATCTCAGGGCTGACTCAGGGAAGGGACCTGCAGACTTTCAATACATCTAAATCGATACCGATTTAGGGCAAAATTTGATTGCTATCCTGGTCTTTGCTTTGCAAGCTCCTGATTCTGGTTTGGGTCTGGGTGACACAAAGATAAGCTTGCCCTTGCTTGGAGCTCTAGTATATTGCTGCTGGCCCTGTCCTTTTTTTCCCCCTTCCACTTAATAGTATTTTATTTTTCCAATTACATGTAAAGATAGTTTTCAACATTCAATTTCACAAGATTTTGAATTCCAAATTTTTTCTCCCTTTCTCCCTTCCCTCCTCCCCAAGACAGTATGCAATCTGATACAGGCTACACATGTACAATCATATTAAACATGTTTCCACATTAGTCATGTTGTGAAAGAAGAATCAGAACAAAAGGGGAAAAACCACGAGAAAGAAAAAACAACAGAAAAAGAGAAAATAGTATGCTTTGATCTGCATTCAGACTCCACAGTTCCTTCTCTGGATGTGGATAGCATTTCCCACCATGAGTCTTTTGAATTGTCTTGGATCCTTGTATTGCTGAGAAGAGCTAAGTCTATCAAAGTTGGTCATCGTACAATGTTGTTGTTATTGTGTACGATGTTCTCCTGGTTCTGCTCACGTCACTCAGCATCAGTTCATGTAAGTCTTTCCAGGTTTTTCTGAAATCCACCTACTCATCATTTCTTATAGACAACAGTATTCCATCACATTCATATATCATACCTTGTTCAGCCATTGCCCAATAGATGGGCATCCCCTCAGTGTCCAATTTTTGACCACCACAAAAAGAGCTGCTATAAATATTTTTGCACATGTGGGTCCTTTTCCCATTTTTATAATCTTCTTGGGTTACAGACCTAGAAGTAGTTTTGCTGGATCAAAGGATATGCACAGTTTATAGCCCTTTAGGCATAGTTCTGGCCCCATCTTCTTTCAGCTGGTTAAATGACTCTGTGGATTCAGAGTGACAGAACTATAGGTCTCCCTGCCCTGGTTACTTAGCTACAGGCCTAAGACTAAACTGGGTGCTGAATCTGGGACAACACTCAGGGGTAAGAACCACACTGCTGCTGCTTGCTTCTGTTCCAGCTCCTTGCCCAGTACATGTGCAGCCTCGGGTCCACAGCCATTCCTTGCCCTACTCAGGTACAGGTCAGTTGGGTCCCTTCCTCATCCCACTCTGGGTCTGCAACATAATTCTGGGACTAGAGGGACATGGCTCTTGTTCCTGCTTTCCAGGTAGTAGATCCATACCAAAAATATCTTCTTATATACTGTCTCAAATTCAATCAATTAGAAACTCACTTGAGTGAGTCCTAATTAAAAAATGCAAATACCTCTGGGGAAGGTTAAGGAGTTTACTAATTCATATATTAGGGTCAATTAATGAGATCTGTTTTCCTTCTAGGACCAAGATAAGATTAGCAACACTAAGATATTGAGAATTAGGCAATTTTGGAGCTTGGGGGCACTTGAGGGGATAGGGAAGACTTAGGTGGACACATGGGAATTTAGATCAAAATAAAGTCACTGACTAGAGGCTGGAATTCTGGGTCCTGGAACAAAGGACCAAATTGGACAGAAAGGAGGAAAATAGCATGGGGCTGTTTAACGGTCAAATATGACAGCATATAAGGTACTTTATAAATGTGATATAAAGTATTAAAGTGCTTTACAAATGTCATTATTCATATTAGTGGTACTAATAGTCAGTAGATCTGGGTTTGAATCCCTGTTCTGCCATCTCCAGGGTACAGGACACTAAGAGGTAGGCAGATAACCAAAGAAAAATAGTCTATTTCAAAATATCATCTAATGCCAGTGCTCTAACCAGGAAAGGGGAAGAAAACACTCGTCTTCCATCCTGTGCTATGTGGTGCCTGGTGTCTAGGGCCAAGAACTTAGGTAGTCCTATTAGTACCATAGTTCAGGTGTATCGAGGCTTATTATGTAGACAGACAAGCTTCACATACACCAAAATATATAGAATAGCCCTTTTTGTGTTAGAGAAGAACTTGGAAACGAAGTAAATGTCCATCATTTAGGGATGGCTAAATAAATTGTTGTATGTGAAATGTAGTGGAATGCTGTAAGAAATGATGAATATGATAACTACAGAGAAGTTTGGAAAGACATGCATGGGCTCATGCAGAGTGAAGTAAACAGAACCGGGAAAACAATATACACAATAACTAGAGCATTATAAATGAAACTGAACACCATAATTATAATGACCCCAAAGTTGGCCCAAGGTGGGGGGAGACAGACACGGAGAAAGAGACAGAGAAATATGAGAGAGATAGGGAGACACAGAGACAGAAAAAGAGAAATATGAGAGACAGAGAGAGACACAGAGACAGAACAATATGAGAGAGAGGGAGCAGAGAGAGAGAGACACAGAGAAAAAAAACCTATGAGAGAGAGACAGAGGCAAAGAGACAGAATGAGAACTATAGACAGAGAACATGAGAGAGAGTAATGAGAGAGAGAAAGAGAGAGAGAGAGAAAGAGAGAGAGAGAGAATATGAATATACTGTCGGTCATGGTTGACGTGTTAGTTGATTTTATTGAACTATGTTTTTCTCTACTTTGTTACATAGGATGGCTTGCTGGGCAGTGGAGAGAGGGGAGGGATATATGTGGAAATAAAGGCCATGCAAAAACAAAAGCTGTCACTAAAAATATTGCTTTTTTAAATCAAGGAAGGACATGTACATAAAGTGCTTTGTAAGTCTTAAGTCAATCCATAAACATTTATTAAGTACTTACTGTGTGCCAGGAACTGTGCTAAATATAAGATATAAAAATATAAGATTTATATTTTTATATGATAATCTATATTTTATTTAAAAACTTATGTTTTATAAAACATAAAATTATAATGTTAAGGTATAACATATGTCAGCTGTTATTAAATATTATTAAACAACTATAATTAAACAACAAAATATTAAACATTGAGTAGGAACTGTACTACTGGGAAGGAGTTTGAAGGGAGGAAAGGGTCATGGGATAAAAGCCATATGGAATAAAACTGTGGGAGAGAAAAGGGGTCTATGGAATAGCCAAGGCAGGGGGGCAGATAAGAGGAAGGCAGGTTGGTAGGAACAAAAGTCCATATTAGCAATAGAGGGACTAGAAGAAAAGATAGATGGAGAGATTGAATAGTTGGGAAAGAAACTAAAATGAATTATTTCATATCAGTTGATGGTGCTGACCCTAAATTCATGCTGGAATCAGGAAGACCTGAGAGTTCAAATCTGGTCTCAAACATTAGCTGTGTGACCTTGGGCAAGTCATTTAACTTCTGTCTGCCTCAGTTTCCTCAACTGAAAATAATAATAGCACCTGCCTCCCAGAGTTGTTGTGAGGATCAAATGAGATAATATTTGCAAAAAGTGCTTAGCACAATGCATGGCACATAGTAGGTGCTATATGAATGCTTATTCCCTTCCCTTTCCCTTCTTGTCCTTTATCCTTATTTTGAGAGTTTTGGCATCAACTTTTTATCTGTGTCTGAGCCTAGCCATCCTTGGAAATGGTGCTCTTGGCCTGCTTTCATACTAATTCCATATGCCTTTAACACATTGCTTATGTAATAAAACTCAGTTGGGCTTCTTGCAGAGCATTATATTCTATTGGGTAAACAGGTAAAAGGATGAGACTAAGACAATTAGATTGTCACGTGACAGGCTGCACAGAAAGGAGAAAGCTATGCTCTTATTTCCAGAATAGTTATGCTTGTGTAACGTAAGCTTCCAATATGCCATTTAATATGTGATTTTGAAAGTAGTCAAATGTGAATATGAACTCTAAACCCTGCTTTCTTGAGCTCTTTTGGTTTCCATCTAAGAACCAAATTCTCTTTTAAAAACAAAAACCTTGGGGAAGCTAGGTGCCATAGTGGGTAGAGCACCAGCTCTGGAGTCCGGAGGACTTCAGTTCAAATGCATCCTCAGACCAGATACTTGACACTTACTAGCTGTGTGACCCTGGGCAAGTGACTTAACCCCAATTGCCTCAAAAAAATAAAAATAAAAACAAAAACCTTTAACATGCATACTAGATACCTGGTTTGTATGTGGTTGACTCTTGAGGAATCAGCAAGTTTCTACCGTGCTTTGTGTTTTCTTCTTGACTTTTAAGTTCCATTTAAGCTGCCATCTGGAAGGGAAGCCTTGAGTTTGTGGAGGTGTGATGTAGAAAATGAATATCAGTAGCAGTTTAGTGAGAGAGGGCATTTGAATTTTTTTTTAAATGTGTGTATATAGAATAGTGATCTATTATGGGGAACTACTGGTCCACGAACTCTCTCTGCAAATGACAATCAGCAACTATTTCACAAGTCTTATAGTCCTTGAGAGTTTCCTGGGGTACTAAGAGGTGAAATGCCTTGCCCGAGGTAACACAGCTAGTATGTGCCAGTACAGAGATTCGAACTCAAAACTTCCTGTCTCCAAGGCCACTGTACTGCTTCTGTAGAATGAGCCAACCTATCTTGTCTACTATAGCTTGGTTGTATGACAGCTGTATTTCATAGCTGCCATTTAATTCATTTTGTCTTTCCTTCTTTCTGTGACAGAGACTTTCATTCGTTGATGTGGCAACAGGTTCTCTTGGGCAGGGACTTGGTGCTGCCTGTGGAATGGCTTATACTGGCAAATATTTTGATAAAGCCAGGTAAGAGATTGAGCTGGAAGACCACTTGTTTATTTGCTTCCTGGAAAAATTTTCCTTTTTATCTTTTTTTTTCCACTTTGGAAATCCAATGGATATCTTAAGGTTTAGATTATACTAAGTAGAAAGGTAATAAAGGACACCAACTCCTTAAACTGTTTCTAGAATCTTGGATTAGATTTTAAGTAATCTGCTTATAATGCAAAAGCTGGCTTCTGGGGCCATCTAACTCTTGCCCTGTATGCTTTCATTCTTGAAACATTGGCAAAGACATAGTTTAGACCAGAGGTTCCCAAACTTATTTGGCCTATTGCCCCCTTTAAAAAAATTACTCTGCTCCCCTTGGAAATCTACTTTCTTTAACCCTCTAATGGTTATTTTGAAATTTGCATAATTTCAAAAATACATTTAAAAAATGACATATCTTAAATTTAGTAATTTCTTGTAAATTTGTATTTTTTCCTGCATTGAAATTTTTATGATGCAATATTGTGTCATATAACCATATAGTATCGTATTGTAAACGAATCATTACACGCACATATTCCTGCCAGTGCATGCTGGACTTTGCGACAATATGCAACACTTGCCTGCCAACACTTGCTGTCATCGGACTTGACCACTAATCAGTTATAACTTGCATTTTGTGTGTTTATTTGGAAAATAATGTAATCACTATGACTTTGAAACATGTATGAATGGTTTTTCAAAATTTTCTTCTCTTCTTTCCTTATGCTTCCATGGCGTCCTTATTTTTATTCAATACCCCCCAATTGTACCCAAGGCTACCGTTATCCCCCTCGGTCATTGCAGCACCCCTAGGAAGTGGTATCACCCACTTTGGGAACCTCTGGCTAGACTAAGCCTAAAAATAGCACATCACAGTTTTACAAAGCCTTTTTGGTTCATGTTTTGTTAATATATACAAGAGATGGCATAGTATAATGGAGAGAAGGCTGGCCTAGGGGCCAGGAAGACCTGGGCTCAAGTCTTACCTCTGACACCTGCTGGCTTTATGACCCTGGGCAAGTTACTTAACCTTTCCTTGTTCTAGGTGACTCTTCAAGACATTAAATTGCAAAGAAGGTGCCAGCCTGCATTGGTAGAGGAAGATTTCTTCATCTGGAAGCTCCTCATACCAGTCCCTATCCTTATCTTTTGTTAGTGTAGTAACGTCTTCTCAATTTCTGTCTTGCACTAAGGGGGAGAATGTACCTCTGTAGCTCATTGCTGTAGTCACAGGAAGTCATTGCCTAGCAGCCAGCCTTTTGAATGCTTCCCTGTGCAGGTGTTCAGACAGCAGACCTATCGTCTGTCACTATACTGGAAGCCTTTCTAGCTTGGCACAACCTCATGGAGCTTACCCTCCATTAGACTGAAGTATAGGCCCCTTAACATTTAAAGATGAGAAATACAAGGTGGTGATTTTCTTTTAAAAATGGAACTGCATTAACCCAAGAAAAACATGTATAAATCCAACTACCTTTCCTTTGTTCCTTATTATCATTTATAGGAATTGATTTTCTGGAATATTGGATTTTTTTCCTCTTCCTTTGTGGCCCTGAAGTGGTAAAAACCCTAAGGATGAAGTTTAGAATTCTGTTTGTAACTCTTAGCAAAAAATCTACTTTGAGTGCCTAATTTTTTGTTTGCTAATATACCTATTGAGTTTAGGCAGAGATGTCAGAATGGTAAAGAGCAGTGCGGGGCAAACGTCTTCAGGAAAGCAGCTTTTTGTAGTCTGTCTCTGAGTTTTTCTCTTGAACTGAGTGACTCATCTTAACTTGGGCCCATGCAGGGATGATAGGACTTGTCTCTTTTGGGTTCTAGTTACAGGGTGTACTGCCTCATGGGAGATGGGGAGTCCTCCGAAGGCTCTGTCTGGGAAGCTTTGGCTTTTGCCTCTCACTATAAGCTGGACAACCTCTTGGCAATCTTTGATGTGAACCGTTTAGGACAAAGTGAAGCTGCTCCTTTGCAGCACTGCACAGATATCTATCGGAAGCGCTGTGAAGCTTTTGGGTAAGGAATGACATCTCTTTTCCTCATTTCCTTTTCTTCTGGGTGCCATAAATCAACAAAGAGTCAGCAAACATTTATTAAGTGCCTACTATGTGCTAAGAGCTGGGGATACAAAGAAAGCCATAAGACAGTCCTGCCCTCAAGGAGCTCGAAATCTAATGGGGGTGGGGGTGGGACAACATATAAAAAGAAGCTGAAAGGGGGGAAAGGTGGGGTATGATGAAGTTTTGCAGCTGGGGTGGGAAATGATCTGAGGAGATGAGCGTTTCAAGATTGAGTTCATCTTGCAGAATGATGAATTTTTTGAGATGATGAAGTCCAGGAAAGTAGCCGGGTCAGAAATGATGAGGAGAATTCCCGGAGTTCCTTCCTTAATAAAGGTGATCTGGGAGGAAGTCTCCAGTGTCCACCCTCTACCCTCTCCAATCAGGGAAGGAAGTTCCCAGGAACAGGGGGTGCTGAGGAGTAAAATTCAGAGTTGGTTTCATCTTGCCAAATAGTCAGTTTTTTGAACATGATAAAGCTGGGTAGGCAATGCTAAGGCGAATCTCTGGTTGCTCTCCTTAAATGGTGGAGGTCTTCTATAACCAACTGTCTTTTATTAGGTGGAACACCTATGTTGTGGATGGCCATGATGTGGAGCAGCTATGTGAAGTCTTTTGGCAGGCAACTCAAGTGAAGAACCAGCCTACTGCTATAGTTGCCAAGACCTTCAAAGGCCGTGGTATTCCAAGTAAGCAAATGTGCCCTCTATCTCCACAGCAGGAGAGAGTTGGCACAGGTTTGGCACTGACATTGACATGGCTAGAATGAATGAATAAGCAGCGTTGTTTGTGGTTGCATAATTGATTTTCCTTTGTGACTATGTGTAGTAGAGCTCATAGATGCCATAGGTTACATGTGTAATATGTTTGCTGTTGGTACATACTGGTGATACCACAGTGGTGATAATGGACATCCTTGTTTCACCCCCGATCTTATTGGAAATGCTTCTAGCTTGTCCCCATTACATATAATGCTTGCTGAAGATTTTAGGTAGATGCTATTTATCATTTTAAGGAAGACTCCACGTATACCTATGCTCTCTAGTGTTTTTAATAGGAATGGGTGTTGTATTTTGTCAAAAGCTTTTTCTGCATCTATTGAGATGATCATGTGGTTTCTGTTAGTTTTGGTGTTGATATGATCAGTTATGCTGATAGTTTCCCTAATATTGAACCAGCCCTGAAATGCAGATGTTTTATGTAATGATTTATAACTTACCAGGTGCTTTATTTACATACATTCTCATTTGAATGTCACAGCGGCCCTGTGTGCCACTTGTCTAAGGTCATGCAGATGGTAAGTGGCAAACAGGTTTAGACTTCATACTCTTCTGACTCCAAATCTACTACTCTTGCCCCTGCTAGCCCTGGTGAAGTGGTAACAAAAGAACCAAGATTTCATTGCTGGGCAGGCCACAGAGCTTTCTGCTCTTTTCTCTGTCACCAGCTGCTGCTAGAAATTCTTGCTCATACTGCATTAAGCTTTTAAGCCTCAGTTATAGAGAAATATTCGGTGAGCTAAACCAGAAAACAGAGACCAGGTGACTCTTGAGATCTCATCAATTTCTGACATTGATGCTTTACTGAATAAAGGCTCAGTTTCCTGAACTAGAAAATTGGTGATCTGTGTTTATTGTTTGATCCCAGGCATTGAGGATGCAGAAAACTGGCATGGCAAGCCTATGCCAAAGGACAAAGCAGATTCCATTATCAAGGCCATCGAAAGCCAGATACAGAGTAATAAGAACCTGACTCCTCAGCCACCTGTGGAAGATGTCCCTGAGATCAACATCATGGATGTGAAGATGCCTTCTCTACCTGCCTACCAGATTGGGGACAAGGTAGGCTGGGACTGTAGTTACTAAGGATTAATGGTAATAAACTAAGTCACGAATTAGAATTTAGATTCTTCACTTACCCCTCCCATTTGTCTTGTAAATACTCTACAGATGTTCATGAAGTATTCATTAGGATCTTTCACTACTGGTTAATGAGCAATAAAGACAGCCTCTCCCTCTCTTTGTCTAGTATCTGCTCTGTGCAGTCCTATTTACTTGACTTTGAAATGTCTTTATATGGATGAATTTCTGCATTCCTGCTGCTGGGTAACTTCCTGCCATCACCTTGGGACCTAGAACCTGTTCACGTGCATTTAAACTCCTGAGATGCTCAGGGCCCTGTGTTAACTTTTTGGAATCATATCTCCTACAGGAAGCCTTTCTCTATCCCGTCCCGCCCCGGCTAGTGTTCTCCCTCCTCACAGATCTGGAGGAATATTATATGCTAGACATGTTATAGCCCCAAGTTGACAGTAAGCTCCACTAGGGGAGGTGGCCTGTATTGTCCCTTGTTTGACTCTGAATTCTTAATGCTGCCACACTGCCTTGCACATAGTAGGCACTTAGAGGTAGAAGGGACCCTCCAGAGAAGGGAAGAAACTGGCCTAAGTTCACAGCCAGTAAGTGACAGAGCTGAGGTTTAAATCCAAGTGCTCACACCCCAGATCCTGTCCTCCTTCCACTACACTAACACTTGATGAGTTGAATCGTGTTGTCCAGGATTCAGGGAATCAAAACCAATTTTGATATCTGCCCTGCAGTTTTTTGCAGCATGGGAATTTTGAGGTTCCTGTGTCAGAATTCTGCTGGTAGTAAGAAGTGAAATAAGCAAATATGCTTATTTCATATGCCAAGGACCTAAAGCAAATGAGTCCATAACACATTAACATAAGATGACACTGCTTTCTTTTCACTTTTTTTTGTTTGCGTGGGGAAACTGAGTATATTTGGTATAGGCAAATACTTGAATTTCCTTATCCCTAGTGATCTGGGTTAATGTTCCTGCCCCTCCCCCCACCTCTTAGAGCCTTGCAAATGAATGAATTTTAGTAGCTTTTCTCCTAGATGGGGATTTACTAATGCTAACAGATTTAGTCTCTTGCTAAAGTTCCCTCAGTGTGCCTCTGCAATTTAGCACCCTTTTTTCTTCCAGGTGGCCACCAGAAAAGCCTATGGTACTGCCCTGGCTAAGCTAGGCCATGCAAATGATCGAGTGATCGCCTTAGATGGTGACACAAAGAACTCCACCTTTTCAGAGCTGTTTAAGAAGGAGCACCCAGAACGCTTCATTGAATGCTTCATCGCCGAGCAGAACATGGTACTGAGTAGGTCACACGTTGCAGGTATCTCTCAGGGCACCCGACTTACTCTTGTCCCCTAACTTGTTGCTTTTTGTGTTATAGGTAAGCGTGGCATTGGGCTGTGCCACCCGAAATCGGACCATTGCTTTCGCCAGCACCTTTGCTGCCTTCTTTACCAGAGCTTTTGATCATATCAGGATGGGGGCCATCTCTCAAACTAACATCAACCTTACTGGTTCCCACTGTGGGGTCTCTATTGGTATGCGCTGTCTTATAGCTAGTCAGAATTCTATCTTTTCATTGTCTTTTACTCAGTTACAGAGAACAAATTATAAAGTATATCCGTTGAACCATGGGGCCGAATATGCTTTGTATTTTTGTGTGGGAGTGGGGAAGCTCCACGGTCCAGGACTGTGATTTTATTGATGTAGGGAACTCCTGAAGTGGAAACTCTCTCCACAGATATAGATCATCAGCTGATCTATAACTGAAAACCTCTCAGTATCCCTAGATGAGTCCCTAAGACTGTGTGATTTGCTCAGGATCACACAGTTAGAATGTGTCGGAGGCAAGACTTGAGTCTAACTGCTCTTGACTATGAGGCCAGCCCTCCAGCCACTATAGTATAGTGTAGTCAGTAACTATACCGTGCTGCCTCTTTATGTTTTAACTAGGTCTTCTGAAAGAAGCAGTTATGTGATCTTAGCCCATTAAGCTACGAGGCAGCCCATTAAACAGCCTATTCCACTGTTTTCAGTAAATTATAAATTAACCTCTATTTATTAGGTGCTATATATGTGACCATTGCTGTGCTGATCCTGTGAATGGATAGAAAAGAAATAGGACAAGTCTCATGCTTAAGAATCTAGGTGGGGAGGCAAAGCTAAGTTAACTGTAGAGAAGAATTAAATATTTAAACTATTAAGGGATGGACTATAAGTACATGAAAGAGATCAATCAACAGAGGAGATGGGGTCTGAGCTAGGCCTTCACAGCCAGTAAGTGACAGAGCTGAGGTTTAAACTCAAGTGCTCACACCCCAGATCCTGTCCTCCTTCTACTACACTAACACTTGATGAGTTGAATTGTGTTTTTTTTTTATAATTTTATAGCCTGCAACTTTGCTAAAGTTGTTTATTATTTCAAGTAGTTTTTTACTGGATTCTCTAAGTATATCATCATGTCATCTGCAAAGAGTGATAGCTTTGTTTCTTCTTTGCCTATTCTAATAATTATATAATAATTATAATCGTGCTTTTAGTTAAAGGGAGAAGGGAAGTAATCCACGTAGGGAAAATAGCATGAGCAATGGCATAGAGGTGAACGTAGTGTTTTGTGGGGGAGGACACCAGCCTCGTTAGAATGGTAGATATACATCTGGGAGGGTAGAGTCTGGAGTAATGGAGGCTAGAGGGAACCAAGCAGACGAGTTTGCACTCGAATGTGTGACAGACAATAAAAAGGCATTGTGGACTCAAGCTAAGGAATGACATGATGGAAAACAGGTGCTTTAGGGAAGTTAGTCTGATTGCAGAAGGGATGATAGGCTTAAGAAGGAAGTGGGGAGTAGGGAGGCCAGGTGGGTAGGTATTACAATTAGAGACTCTGGATTAGGTTGGTGGTGATAGGAATAGAGAAGAAAGGCTGAATTTGAAACATATTGGATAGATAAGATTTCTAGCCCAGGTGAGTAGAAAAATGGTGACAGAAATATCGTTTGGAAGGTGAAGCAATTTTGATTGGGGCAGGGGAGTGAGTGATTGTGAGTTTAGTTTTGGAAGTGTTGAGATTAAGATAATCGTAGGATATCCAAGAAACAGTGTCCTATAGGTAGTTTATGATCTAGAACTTGAGGATAGGTGAAGGAGAAGCTTTGGGATAGGGGTGGGGAAGCTGTGGCCTTGAGGCCACATGTGGCCTTATAGGTCTTCGGGTGAGGCCTTTTGCCTGAGTCTAAGTTTTACAGAACAAATCCTTTCGTTAAAGGGATTTGTTCTGTGAAGTTGGGATTCAGTCAAAGGGCTGCACTTAAGGACCTAAAGGGCCACATATGGCCTTGAGACCACAGGTTCCCCACCCCTGCTTTGGGAGGTCTCTCTATGGAAACTATGAGAGAAGATGTCATCTCCAAGTGAGGATACGTGGAGAGAAAAGAACAGAAGACTAAAGACAAAACATTTGAGAACACTAGTTAGGTAGTAGGCGAATAGAGAGAGAGAAGGGAATATGGAGGAGGTAGGAAAATCAGCATTGTGCTGTCATAGATGCCAAAAGAGGGAGATGGTGTGGTGGATATAATGCTATATTTGGAATTAGAAAGTCCTGGTTTTGAAACCTACCTCAGACTCTTACTAGCTGTGTGACTCGGATCCTCAGTTTCTTCATCTGTAAAGTGGTGATAATAATAATAATAATAATAGTGATGATAATGATAATAATAATAATAATAATACCTCCCTTACAGGATCATACATAGGCTCACAGACTTAGAGCTGGAATGAGAGTACATCTAGTCTACTATAGTCCAGCCCAGCCCAGAGAGGTAAAGGTGACATGCCCAGTCCCACAGAGCTGGGGTTCATGTCAAACATAGTGATTTTTTTCTATTGTACCTACTGTACCACTGGGATAATGTATAGAAAGTGTTCTATACTTTCAAGAAATGCTAAAGAAGTATGGGTTGTGAAGGATCACACTTCAAGGAAGAGTGAATGTTCAGTGTCAAAGTCCCCAGAGTGTGCAAAAGTAATGACACCGAATTAGGTGATTAGGCTATCACTCTTTGGTGGGCAGTGACCAGTGGTGACTGGTATAAACCATATATTCATGGAGTTGATAAATAATAATGATGATGATGATGATGACATTAGTTCACATTTATCTAGCACTTGGGGATTTGTGTATATACCTCAGAAAAAATCATTTCAGAAGCAAACTGGATTTTCTAATAGTTTTTAAACTTGGATTTGCCTAGGTACTCTTCCTGAACCTGATTATATTAGAGGCAGAGAGCACCAGTATTTTGGGCTATGTGTCTACTTGGATCAGATTCTGACCTTGGATGGGGTTGTGCATTATTAAATAAAATGGTATCTTGCAAAGCTAAGGTGGTGTGGTAGTTCAGTGGTTTGTCCCCTTCCATCATTTCCCTAAAGTTAGCTCATTGAAGAGAAAGAAGGTAACCCTACTTGTGAGGCAGGAAGATTGAAGATAATAAAAGCCTGAGACTTGAACTTATATCCCTGGCACTGTGCCTTCCACATATAGTAGGCATTAAATAAATGTTTGGAGAATTGGATTGAAGTGGTTGGTGCTGGCCTGGGCTAAATAAATCTCTTTTTTCCTATGATTTTCTCAGGTGAAGATGGGCCCTCCCAGATGGCTCTGGAGGATGTTGCCATGTTCAGAACTGTTCCCAATTGCACAGTTTTCTATCCAAGTGATGCTGTTTCTACAGAATATGCTGTTCATTTGGCTGCCAATACCAAGGTATATTTATAGCAAGGGTTCTTAACCTAGGGTCTGTGGACTTGTTTTAAAAATGTTTTGATAACTGTATTTCAATATAATTTATTTCTTTTTTTAATCACATATAATTTGTTTTATGCATTTAAAAACATCCTGAGCAGGGGTCCGTAGGCTTCACTTGACTGCCAAAGGAGTTTATGGCACAAAAGAGGCCTAGGACCCTTGATTAAGAACAGAGGTGGGGAACCTGTGGCCTCCAGGCCACATGTGGCCCTCTAGGTCCTCAAATGCAGCCCTTTGACTGAATCCAAACTTCACAGAACAAGTCCCCGCCCCTGATTTAGAACAATGCTGGCTTAGACAGAAAATGCTTCTTAGGACCACAGGTTTAGAGTAAGAAGGGACCTGGAGAGTTCTTAGTGCTGCAAGCAGCCTGAAGGCCCGCTCTAGTGCTTAGCACAGTGCTTGGCATATAGTAAATAGTTAATAAATATTTATTGATTGCTTGATTAAGTAGCCTTGATTAAGAAGCCTAAGCAATTAAATGAAGAACATAGACAAGCATTCCAGACTCTCATTGCGAAAAATGAATTTTTAAGACTGAGAACTTTTTCCACTAAAGTCTCTACTATGGACTCAAGAGTTTTTAACCTTTAATTCTCAAAGGCTCTGCAAAGGAAGCACAAATTCTGTCTGGTGCCACCAAACTGGGCCCAATGGACTATGGATCTTTTGTCTGAGGACCAGCCAAGCTAAATATGGAGAGGTTGGACACAAGGGAATTAACCATTGAGCTACACCTGCTTTTAAAAAATAAGTGTTTGAGGAATTATGATATATTATAGACCTTTGAGGTGCTAGTCTGAGTATTGAGCTCTTAAATGTCCTAGGCTTCCTACTGAACATAAAACAAATCCCTGCCCTAAGCTTGTAGTCTGTATTGACCAAACAGTAGGGATGTAGTAGTGAGGATGCAGCAGAGTGGAGGAGCTAGAAGAGGGTGCAGGTGGGCACTTTGCATGCCGAGTAGGAGATTTGCCCTGTATGTTCCTATGAGTTTTTGGCTCCAATGTGATTGCTGAATGGAACCAAGGTTAATTATACTGACATTTCTATCAGCGTATTAAGAGGCGCTAGTGGGTATGGGGCTCATGTATGTTGGATCAGACGAGCCCAGGGGTGGGGAACCTGCGGCTTTGAGGCCACATGTGGCCCTCTAGGTCCTCAAGTGTGGTCCTTTGACTGAATCCAAATGGCACAGAACATAAATAAAAGGATTTGTTCTGTAAAATGGACTCAGTCAAAGGGCCACACCCAGGGACCTAGAAGGCCACATGTGGCCTTGAGGCCGCAAATTCCCCACCCTGGACTAGCCCGTACATGGTGAAATTGAGTATCATGAGTGCAGGTAGAAAGGGAATTGAGGCTAGGAAGAGCCTGGGATGCAGCTGTGGTGTTGGGGCCTAGATTTTTCTCCCCTCTTGTCTTTATTGTGATGTGTGGGGATGTTACTGGGTGTTTATACTTCATTTTAGTGAGGGGAGTCAAGGTATGTGCTATTCTGTGGCCTCCATGCTACCCTGTACCAGAATTACATTAGCGATGGTAAAAGTGTTTTTCATTTCCATCCTAGAGATGTTTGAATTGTACCTGCTGAGCTTCCACCCAGTTCCCCATCCTTAAAGGAGGAAGCTTGCAGATATAACAAACAGATCAATGTGTCTCTGGGATATCACTCACCTACAGCAGATATTTTAGCATGTAAAGCTTATCCCTGATAGGATTTGCTGGGTGCCTTCTTGGTTCTATGTCTGAATAGAAAGGCCATTGTAGAAATAAGTTTACTCAGATGTTATTTTATGTTTTCTAAAGATTTTAAGGTACCTTATTCCTGGTTAGTTTTTTACCCAGAATACAGACTTCCTTCACTAAAAGAGACTGTCATTAAGTCTTAATGGCTTGTTCTTTTCTTCCCACATTTTTCTTTCTAGCTAATAATTTGTTAAAAAGAATCTGTAACTTTGATTTCTGAAATGTAACTCTTATTTTTATATTTACCCTAGGGAATGTGCTTTATCCGAACCAGCAGACCAGATACTTCAGTTATTTATTCTCCCTTTGAAAACTTTAAGATTGGACAGGCCAAGGTAAAAAAGGCTTAGGTTATCACGTATTTCTTCTTCTCTTCCCTTCCTTTCTCCTCTCTTCTCTTTTCTTCTCTTCTCTTTTCTCTCTTCTCTCCCCTCACCTCACTTCCCCTATCCTCTCTTCTCTCCTCTACCCTCACCTCACTTCTCCTCTCTTCTCTCCTCTCCCCTCACCTCACTTCTCCTCTCTTCTCTCCTTTCTTCTCTTCTCTCCACTCACTTCTCCTCTCTTCTCTTCTCTCCTCTCCCCTCCCCTCCCTTCTCCTTTCCTCTCCTCCCTTCTCTCCTCTCCACTCACCTCACTTCTCCTATCTTCTCTTTTCTCACCTCTCCTTTCCCCTTCTCTCCACCCACTTCTCCTCTCTTCTCTCCTCTCCTCTCCCCTCCCCTCCACTCCCTTCCCCTCTCTTCTCTCCTCTCTTTTCTCCCCTCCTCTCCCCTCCCTTCTCCTCCCTTCTCTTCTTTCTCTCTTCTCCCCTCCCCCTTTCTCCTTTCCTCTCCTCTCTTCTCTCCTCTCGCCTCACCTCACTTCTCCTCTCTTCTCTCCTCACCCCTCACCTCACTTCTCCTCTCTTCT